CAATTGATTGTCGCCGTAATTGACTGCCGATTATGGCTTTGGTTGAGGCAATCATTTGTCGACCGCTTTTCACGTCATAACAAAATTCAAACTATAAATATTATTTTACAATAATTTAATTATTAAATTTTACCAAGACTAGAGTATCAAAATCAAATATATTATTGAATTAATTAATTTAAATTTACGGAATTCACTCAAATATATTTTACCCAAATTAAACAATAATTTTCATTAAAAATTATACAAATTATTTATTTACAATATTTATTATACTTATTATCGTAATGCTATCACTTGTTATCGTGATGTGATTGAAGTTTTTTTTGTGTTACAAAATATGGTTATTAAGATTTTTAATTTTTAGAGTTTAAATTTTGTTAAATAAATCACATATAATTTTAATAACAAATAACAAAATGTGTCTATTAAACAAATTCTTAATAAAGTATTAGTGCAACCGTTACTAAATTATATTATCTTGATACTAAAGATTCAAACCAAATTTTTAAGTGTGTGCCTGTAATCTACATATAAACTGTAAACGTAAACTGTTATGTACATGTAAACTGTATATTACTTATAGGTATTATTATGACATTTATTTTACACTACTTTAAAATAAGTGCAACATTTACAAACAGAAAATTGTTTAAGTATACATTAGTGTAAAATTTAACAACTATAAAATCAATAATACTTTTAATAAACAATTATAAAATTTGAATCTTTACTCAAATTGTAAAATCATTTATAATTATAATTAAATATGAAATTATTAATAGCATTGATGTGTGGATTGGTTTGTATTGTGAGCGCAGACTATAGTATAAATGACTACAAATTGGTCTCAAAGTCCCATAACTTTACGGAAAAAGTAGTTCTGGTGACCGGTTCCTCGTCGGGCATCGGCGCCGGTATTGTCCGCCTGTTTTCCATATTAGGAGCCAATGTTGTGGTCACCGGTCGGACAGCACAGGAGGTTCAACAAGTGGCCAACGAGTGTTACGAGTTATCGCCCAACAAATTGAAGGTTTAATAAATACTTGCAGGCAAAGTACTCGCCATTAGGACGAGTGGGTCAGCCCTTAGACATGGCCCGTGCGGTCGCATTCCTGGCCTCCACTGACGCCCAGTTTATAACCGGCGCTAATTTGGTGGTCGACGGGGGCTTCCGATACAACGCCGGTGTTATTAATACAATGTTTTAAGTGTTATGCAACATATTGTTAGCAATCATTAAATGATAAATAATTATTTATCAAATTACGATTAAACAAAATTGTAAAGTAATCATTTTTATTTTTTTATATTTTTTAAAAATTGTTTAAATGGTATTAATGGTTAATTCCAAGAACTTGGAAATAATTAACAATAGAATAATTATCCATATTTTTTTAGAAATTACATAAAAAATTTTAATAATTTCCCCATTTATATATTTATATTTTGTATAATACTTAACACTATTAACAAATAAATATTAATTGGTAATTATTATAAATGATTTAAAGCTACATAAATTACAATGTAGTAAAATTTGAACATTAAAAACTAGTTTACCTTGAAAGTAAATCACGAATGAATGTCATATAAATGCACAAATATTTAATTACACTATAAATCCAGACAGGTTTTAACAAAATTAAAATTGTAAATGAATTGATTTTGAGTAAGATGTTAGACAAAGTTTTAAGCATAATTTATAAAAGTCATTTATATTATATTTTAAACACAATATAATAAATAAATTAAATCACTGTTTATTATTTATAATGATTGAGTTCATTTATAGTTTTGTGGTTTAAGTATTTGTTGGAAATAATTGTAAATAAAGCTATAATTAATTGACAAAGATTTTGATATTTGTGACAATATATCACCTTTCACTCGTAAAATACGTAAATAATAAATATTAACATTTAGTTCATTCATATTCTGATAATTATTACAAAAATTCTCATTGAATACATTCATTATATGCTTTATATCTCGTGTTCTGTCTTCTGATCCCTCGAGTAATCCATTAATAAATGCTTGGATTCGATCCACACATACACCAAAAGTGTCCAAAATATATGAGTTGTAACCAACAATCTTTTTTTCATTTCTATAGAGGTTAAATCATATTCAATAAATCTAAAATATTATAATAAATCTAGATTTTTAATTTATTATTTAAACTTAATATTTATTACCTTAATTGAATTTCAAACAAATTGTTTATAATTTCTCCCAATTGGCACAATTTAGTGTGATTTAAAATTGTTGGGTAGTAATTACTATTTATAGATTTGTATGATATATTCATGTAATATTTACTCCGTATATTTTTATTAATAATAAATATATGTTCGGGGTCGAGTGAAATGTCTGTGATATTTATATCCAAATTAATCAATCTCTGAATACAATGTAATAATTGTCTCAACAATTGCTGTGAAATAAGGAAATCAATTGAAATCATTGCCAACGAGTGATGCGTTTGTGTCCCAAATATCACGTGTTTTGCTTTTATAACATCCAAAAGAGTTTGGGAACTATATTCTTGATGATTGCAATAATTAGCAGAGAAAAGTTCATGATTTGAATAAATGTGCTTGGTTGTTGCAAACATTTTTAGATCTCGAGTAGATTTACTTTCTATTGACTCGGCATCCATTTGGTTAAGTGTCTAAAATACAAAACAAATTAATTACAAATAGTGTTTTAATCATTTAATTCTACTTTAATTTTACCGGCAACAGTTTCTGTTGGTTGAATATTTGTTGAAAATAATTATAAATAAATTTATATTTAATTAATTTTGCGTTAAATATAGGGATTCGCCACAGAATTGCACTTTTCATCCGTGAGATTATTTGAGCGTTTATTTTGTGAGGATTTTCACCAAAAATATTATTGAATTCATTCATTATATCAGAAATATTTATATCTTTTGAGTTATATTTTAATACATCAATAAATGCTGTGAATTGATACATATTTACGCGAAAATATTCAAAAATATATGATATATAATCATAGTTTTTAAAATTATTTATCTGGATTTTAAATATTTTGTGAGCTATTTTCACAATTTGTTTAATGACAAGATTTTTAATAATTGTCGAACATGTTTCATTGCAATCAAGAGATTCATATTTAAATAAATAAAATTTTATATTAAATTCACGTTTTATACTATCGCTTGAAATAAATATTTCTTTTGTTTTGAGTGAAATGTTTTCGATATTTATATTCAAATCAATCACTGCTTGAATACAATGTAATAATTGTCTCAACAATTGCTGCGAAATTAGGAAATCAATTGAAATCATTGCTAACGAGTGTTGAGTTTGTGTCCCAAACATCACTTGTTTTGCATTTATGACATCCCATAGAGTTTGCGGACAAAACTCCATTTGAATGTAAATCGCATTGTTTTCAATCCATGAGTTATATATTTGAAGAAAATATTGAGGTTTTAATATAAATATTTTCCTAACATTGTCCACAATTCTCTTCATATCGTAGTAATCTATTATTAAAATTTTGTATAAAAATATTTTTAATTTTATAAAATGTAAATATTTAAATAAATAATATGTGACAAATAACAGAAAATGAGATATCGTAAATTTAAACATTTACATTTTGCGCTTAGTGACTGTGTACATAATAAAGTATTGATTTTGAAAATTGACCAGGTAGATTTTAATTAGGAGGGCAGACCTCCTTCGGGTGCACAACCGCCAGAGGGTTTAATACAAATTACAAATCTATAAAATATCCGTTTTATAAATACTATAATTTTCCAATTAATAAGCAATATAAAAATAATCTAGGTTAAGAATGGCAGCAGAATAACTTTAATAACGTAATGTGCACGAGTATTATATATCACTAGAAATGCATAAAATAAAAGAAGATCGTTCTTTCCTACTTTTGAGCTATTATAAAACAAATTACATAATTAATATGAAAAGTCTTACAATTGTGTACGTTTTTATAAACAATAATGTATGCATTATATTTTATTTATAACAATTGTAATTATTATTAATTATGATAATAATAATATTTCATAATTTTACACATTTTTGGCATGTTAAATATTACGCGCCCAAAACCTTATAAGTTGAAACAGATACATACAACATTTTACATACAACAAAGTTACAACAATTTAATTGATAAAACAGGTTTAAATGATTTAATTTTATGTAAAAAACTTACTTTGGTGTATAGATTTGCTTATATTATAAATCTTGCCGGTTTCCTTATTTTGTATTTTAGCCAAATTGCCAATAAATCGACTTAATTGACAAAACAAGTTCCCATGGCGTTTAAAAGCTTTGATAATTGCTATAATAAATAAACGTTAATTGTAAACTTGTAAGCATTATTAAAGTGGTAATAAATTAATTTACTATTATATTCATTGTATGTTTGACATATCACACAATCTTCAAATAATTTACAAAAATAATCTACAAATATTGTAAATTTATTTTTGCTTAAATCGTTGAACAAATAATCAAATTTCTCGACAATCGGTTTAATCGACAAATGATTTAATTTGCGTAAAATTACGTCACATTCGGGTCTTTGTCTCCAATCAGTCTTTCCATTTGTTGACCACTTATTAGCACTCATTTCAACCAATAATTGGTTTATTTTTATTAAATTATTTTTTACATTTATATTATAATTGTTTTGCAAATTAAGATCCAATCTAAAATATAATACAAATTAATTAATTATCATTAATTTTTATAATAACTCATAATAACATACTTTCCGTTTTCAATATCTTTTATATTTATACGAAAAATTTTCGCTCCAATGAGTGCCAGACTATAGACATCTATTAAATGGTTGTATTCAGTAGTCTGTGCTTCCGGTGCCTGATATTCAACATCTCCGACATCTTCGGTGTGTTTAACACTACTTTGTTTGTATCCATCACTCAATTCATGCACTTCTTTAGACAAACCGAAGTCACATAACTTTACATATCTATGTGTTTCTTTAACTTTATATATTTTATTATCAATCAACACATTATCGGGTTTGAGGTCTCTGTGAATGATATTATTTTTATGCAAATACTCCACACTTTCCACTAATTGTTTGAATAATTCAAATGATATATAATATTCAAAATCAGACATAAATTTTCCAAATAATTGCATTTTATATTCTAAAACTTCTGCTAAACTTCCGGCCAAACTATCCATAAGAATGTATAAAATGTTGTTTTCTATCCACGAATAATAATACTTAATGACATATTCTGAGCGCAATTTTATCAAGTTTTCCGTTTCTATCAAAACATTATGTTTTTGTTTTTCAGTCAAAACTAAAAATAAAATATAAAGTTATATTATAATATAGAAATAATTATTTGTATACATATTTGTGTTCTTGTGTAGCTTTGAGGCAAATTGGTAAATGTCTCAAATAGTGATTAAAATTTTAGTTCCGGTGCCGCGGCACCGGCACCAGTTTTGACTGTACCGGCACTGAACCGGCGGCGTTTGATTTAATACTTTTTATTATTTCTATTTAAAATTAAATCAAAAATTAAATTGTTTTATTTAAATGTATTGTTTAAATGTACAGCGAACTGCATGTTTTATATCTGTGCATGTGACAAATAACATGCCTGCACAGGCTCTAGCGGCAACGGCATTAATGAAACTTAAACAGAACCGTCACTGTGTGCCGTGATTTTAAGCGGCAACGGCACTCAAAAATTAGAATTTTTCAATCACTAGTCTTAAATGTGTTATAGTTCTAGAAGTAAACATGTTAAAAAATTATTTAAAATATATAACCATTTAATGGACATTTTTTAAGCGCATAAACGCTTTCTTTGTGTTTATCCATCACTTCATATACGTCTCCAAAACTACCCGATCCTAACGTTTTCAGTATTTCATACATTTCTATGTTATTTGTTTCGTCACTATTTTCTAATATATTTTCTAATAAATATAAGAATGTATATTATGTTATATAATACGTTTAATTAGTCATTTTCTTACCATTGTTTGGTGTTGTTTTAATTTCCTTGACAAAATTGTTATGTTTAGTGCAATCAATGGTTTTATAAGTCAATTGATGTTCATTAGCGAAGTAATCATCAAATGTTTTATATACTGTCTCAATAAATAATTTATTAAATGCATACACTTTTTCACCACTTATTCCAACAATAATATAATGATTACTTATTTCAACAAGCTCAGTAAACAATAAGTTATTAATCATAATCATCATCTTTTTCTTCCTATGTAATTTGTATACTTGGTTATTATTTGATAACATAATTATGTCATCTATTCTATTCACACAGATGGTTTTTATATTATTTACACATGATATTTTTGGTGTATTTCTTATCTCAATATCTCCCAGTTTTTTCCATTCAAACACTTCTCCATTGGATGTAATGGCAAATGAAAACAAATCACAACATAAAATGTCCACAATTTTGTATTCAACGCGAAATTGTATTTCAATTGCTTTTTGTATTTCCATTGATTTATATTCCCAT